CGACGACAATCTTCCTCGTTATAAAAGGATTCGAGTTCACATTCCCGAAACTAATCAATCTATGTCAAAAACTCGATCTGGAATCGAGTTACCTTGGAACTCATCAAAGGGCATAAAGATCGACATTCCCGAGCGAGACAATTCGTGGGTGTTTCTTATCACTATAGTACTCAATTCTGTGCAATGCACAAGAGTGTTTCTCTATCAATCCACAACATAGATAAGTCAATTTCGGGTAATGGCATGTAGCTAGCTCCTCTGATTCCAAAGTCCGTTTGGACATAACTGAAAATATAATCGACCCATGTTTCGAAGAAAGAGAAATATAGTCGGTGGGCAAGAACCAAAAAAACCTTTCAATTGTGCCTTTTAGACCTAAAATTTTTGACAATTTGTCAATATAGTTCTTCCGGCCAATTTTGACCAGAAAACGCAGACTTGGTGGTCTAGTTGGCATCGGCCATTCTATGTGTTGTATCGATAATAACGTGGACAATTTTTTAAAAATATTTTGAGTATTTTCGAAATTTTTTTCTTTTTTTTTCTTTCTCTTTTCCTTATTCTGTTTTTTTCTTTCCTTTTCACCGGTGGCCGGCCATTGCCTGATACCAGCCACTAGTGAAAAGGAAAGAGAAAAATAGAAAAAAGAAAACATAAAAAAAAAATTAGAAAAAAAATTCACAAAAAATAAATAAAAAGTTTTAGAATATTTTTCAGCATCGGTATAGGATAGCCAGCGTTGACTGGACCGTCACGTTAACATTTTTCGATCAAAATTGGCCGCAAGGATTACATTGACAAATTGTCAAAAGGTTTAGGACTGAATTGGCACAATTAAAATGTTTATGAATGAATTGGCACAAATGCAATAGGTTTAGGACTTTTTTGGTAATTTTCCCTAAGTTCGGTCACAAACAATTGGGGGAAATTGTCCAATCGGTTTTAAATCTATTATACCGATATCAATAAGTTCTAAACCATTCAATTTTATCAAATTAGTCATAAATATTTATACGAAATTTCAATGTAGTCCTAAAATTACCGATTTCCTATGAAAATTTACCGAAAGGGTTATATTGAAATTTTACACAAATATTTAGAATTAAATTGATAAAATTAAAAAATTTAGAATTGAATTGGTATATGTATAATAAGTTTAAAAATGATTGATTAGTTTTCCTCAAACAATTGACACCAACTATCGTCAGCTAGAAAACCAATCATCGAGGAATCATGCCAAGGCACAAACAACTCCTGTCAAATCAGCTCACACGCATTGGATACTTCAATTTTGTCCCCATGAAAAGGACCCTCACGACAATTTTTCTTTTTTTTTTTCTTTCCAAATAATAGAAGTATTGCCTGATTACTTATCGATTTTTCTTTTGGAAAAAAAATCACAAAAAATTTTAAATTATGTCGGCAAAATCCTCAAATTATGCCAATTATGCCATATTTACCATAAACTTTTTCTAATGATATCAAAAACTCTATATTTATACCCGTGTGACATGCTAATAAGCATACGGCCCTGTTGATAAAATGGTTGAGGGGGACGCTAGTATCACAGGTGCGAGGTTCAACTTCTGCGCTTTACAAAAGGCAAAGCAAAAGTCAGAGAATAAGGAGAGTTAGAGATATGACAAACAAAAATAAAAATACTCGTGTGAAATATTTACCCTCCGTTAGTATTTTGTCAGATGATTTTCTCATATGAATTTTTTCTTTTTCTTTTTTTCTTTTTTTCTTTTCCTTTTGCCCAAGATTACAGAATGCTTGCGAGCCGTGAAGCGTCGCCATCGTTTTGGTTGGGGAAATTGAACAGGTGAGAAGAGCCCTTCAACATCCTATTCCACTTCTAGTGTGGTAGGTGACTTAATGGCTTTAGGTTGAGTGAAGTTTTCTTCTCTAGATGCTCGTTTGGCAGTGCGGTTCGAATGATCTGGAGCGCAGGTTTTCAACGGGCCAACCACTCCCCCTTTTCAGTAAATGTATGTTTGGGGCTATATTAACTAGCTTCTTTTTTTTCATATTAAATTCAATCAATGTAATCTAACATTTTGTCAGCTAGAGTGTCACACCTAGAATTGACCGAGAAGGACATAGCCTCAAATAGCGCTACTGGAATACTTTTCTTTTTTTTAATTTGACCCAATGGTTTGGGGTTAACTCGGGTATGAGAAAAAATTACATGATCTTGAGACTAATTAGTTTGTGGTAAGTTCTTTTCAAAATTTTACATGTGTCTTTCTAGATAGGGAGAAGTGGTTCGGGATTATGATTTTCTAGTAGAGAGTCGTTTACTAAGAAATGTATCAAATTTTGAATGCAAGGCTCGTAGACTCATGATTTGTGTTTGTTTGTGCGCTCTAGATATTGTAGAGGAGGTTTAAACTCGAGGTTCCTTAGCGTTGCAAAAGCGTTAGCATCTCATAGAAGTAACACCGAAAGCAAGATGAAGTAGAGAGAGCGTGAGAGGAGAAGCAAACAATTCTCATAAGCTCGAATTGCCAGGTGGTAGACAAGGAATGTCGAGTGCTTAATGGAGAGTTTCTCAATTTCGTTGCCAAAGTGTAAAGTTTGAAGATGTCGAAGTCGACAGAAAACCTAAAGCTTAGACATCCAAAATCCACTAGTCTTCCCAAATGAGTGAATAGGTGGGATACCTAAGTGAAATGAATACATTAATTGGCTGACAGAATTATGCCTTGTGGCAGTCTTAATGTAGGGAATCGGCGGTGGATAAATTGTCGTATGGCATGGGCACATGGGCTAATGATGGGTTGCCTTGTGTCATGAGAACATAGCCTAACACTAATCTCACTAAAAAGGGTTAGGGAATCGGACATGCCATCTTTATGAGTTCTGCTTCGAGCCTATCAAGCCATAACTCTCTAAGACATCCCAATCGGATAGGAGTAACCCAGGCTACCAGCACCCATCCCGAGTCATTCCTGCTCAGAGCATAGTTCACGTTCCTGCAACAAGTATCTAACATGGGCATTTGCAAGCAAACTTGAGAAGTCATAGCAATAAATAATATGTTTACTTTCCACAAACATGAAAAGGTTTATATTACGAATCTACATACGTTATCAAATTAAGTACTTCTTTCGAGAGTCGGTCGACATGTACTTGACCGATTCACAAAGAACTAGGAAGTAAGAACCCACTTGATCCAAAAGGTAACATATTCTCTGCATTTTGATCAAGAATCGCCCTTTTCTTTTATTCCCAGAGAGCAAAGATTTACACCTCATGGATCAGTAGCAGTGGTCGGGACTTTCCACAGAGCTAGTGATTCCACTCCACCAACGAAAGAGAACTCTGCTTTTAGGACACGAAAACACACCGACACTCATTAAGAAAAGAAAAAACAGTATAGACACGTACAAGACACCTTTCCTTGTTCTTCCACAAACATTAATAGTGAGTGCGCAGAGTGAAAGAAAAATGAAAATTTGGCCCTTGATTGGCGATCATAAATGACAAATTTAAGTCCAACACACACCCACGCTCTCTCGCATCATCACCTACCTCCATTATTGTATTCAGAATCACCAGGAAAAGGTAAGAGAGAGAGACACAGAAAGCAGATGATGATGAAGATGGTGATGCAAAAAAACGAGATGCATGGGACCCAGAAAAATGTAGGAAGACTAGAATCCATGTGTTTCTGTTTTGTCGTGTCTTAGGCCAGCTAGGACACCACATGTTTTCATTCCTACCACCCCCACAAGACTCTGAAAAGTTGCTAATGATCAATAGGGTTTGCATGCACGAGACTCATTCGGTACTATCTATCGTCTGCAGATCTTCGTTTGATTCTCGATGGCCGGTTTTGGAGGGCAGAGAAAAGGTGAAAAAAGGAGTACTTTGTGCTCGTGTTGGGATGGGAAGATGATAATGACCTCCATTCAACCTGTGGACTTGAGCCCATGGAGAATCTCTCTCTTCTTTTTCTTAATATACTTTTTCTGAAATTTGCTGACATAGCGCGCCTTGTTACATTCACGTGTAAAATGAATTATGGATAGATGTCGGCTTGATTTATTAGTATGATTTCGAAACGATGGTCATTTAATCGTCTTTCCACCATTGATGGATAGTTTCATAATTAAAGGTTATCACTCTTTTCCCAAAAAAAAGGAGGAGTAATTGCTTAAAATAAACATGGTGATGGGCATGTGATAGCAATAACTACTGTTTGTTTTGAATGGAAGGACCAGCCATTCCATGAAGAAGAGGCCTCAGATTGTGGGCCTAACTCTTCCCACACCATCTGCTTCACAATGATTGTGGGCCTCAGATTTCATTATCTCCCAACTCCTAGACCACTGAACTTTAGCCTCAGTTAGCTGAGCAAGGCTTTAATGCACGACCTGCCCCCGTCTGCTCCTTTCATGGAGATGAGGTGTCCATGGTTGAGATATCTGTGAACTGCTCCAGTTGTTACACTTCTCAATTTTGAGACAAATTCAAATGATATTGAGTGTCAAACTAAATGATCTTCGAGCTCTATGCCTATTGAACCTCTGCAGACTAACTATATATGTTTGTAAGAAATAGAAGTGTGGAAATGATGCCATTTACAGGTTTTAACATCATCGACGAAGCTCGTAGATTGAGTCCAAGCTCAAAATTAGACTAGGAACGATGGAGCATCAGAGTCAAACGCAATCGAGCTCAAACACATGGAACACTTTGGATCTAGCAAGTCAAGCTCAGTATCAATGTATCGAGTACTAGATTTACAGATCGAATGGCATTTGAACGACACAATCTCAGGTCTTGTTTGTGGCTTAGTTACAATGGTGTTTAGATCTTTGTTCGCTCTGTCCATACAAGCTATACGAGACAGAAATCTTAAACAAGGAAGATCGAATGAGCTAACATAAATAGTGCCTACGAGACACAACCTTGGCAGTTACCAACGGAACAACTGGGACTGTACAATCTACAACTACACCTCTATAGTCACAGAGGCAGAAGCAAATATATGCAAGACAACGATTAAAAAATTTATCTAATTTCTCAAGGTAGCTTTTATGGGCAAAGGAAAAGATTCTATGATACAACAGCAGGACCTATAAAGCATACAACTACCACAAACAAGGCCACTTACCAACTGTTACAAGTCACTCTCACCGTTTCAATGCTGGGTGAGAGAAGGAAAAGAAGGTATAGATTTCAAAATCAATCTCCGCCCACTCCTTAGTGGAGGGGAGGAACCAAAGTCGCTATGCGGCGGAGAAACCCTCTTGCCATTGGGAGAACCAGTCTTGATTACTGCGTTCGGAGTGTCGTTGCTTTGGAGCACCTCTGGCATCTTGCCGCCAACATTATGATTATTACTATTGCCGTAATGCTTCTCAACCTTGGGCTGCGGGGCAAAATGTTCAAGTTTCCCCTTATTTTGACTCGCATGAAGTACTGAAGAGGAGCTGGTGGTGACGAAAGATGAGGATCGTGGGGGTTCATTCTTCGCTGAATATGCAGTCTGAATTGATGGTCTGGTACGCACAAAGGACCATTTAGTGTTTTGAGTATCATTGTGAAAGTTTATCAGCAGCAAAAAAGCTATATGACGATACCCGTAATATGCAGATGGTGTCGCTTGAATTGGGTCCCTCTGTTTCGTGATTTCCAGAGAACCTTTGTTCCCCACGCTTTTTTCGAAATTTTCCTTCCCTTCTTGAATTACTTCGGCCTCCACACCAATTAGAGTAGATCCTGGAGTACAGTACGGCAACTATTTTAACAAAAGAATCACAAATAGTAACTAAAGGAGTCCATACAGGTAAAATAAATACTGGCAAGATCCAAAGATTCAGAGGGAGACCTAATCCACTCACCGTCTTTTCTACCGAATGAATTTTTACAACCTTCACATCTGCAGTTGACGGAGCATCCGACTCCACCCTTTTGTTCAAAAGAATGAAGTGTTTAAATAGGATCGTATCATGTGAAAGCAAAATATAAGGAGAAAATAAGAACCTGATAGCATTCACAATACTTCTTCAGGCAACTAGATTTCTTGCAGTTGCATCCCCTCTTATGCCGTGCTGAAGCAGGGGTTTTATTGGAATCGTCCTGCAAGAAAATTTGCTCTTGAGATGGCAGTTCTGATTGCATTGACAGACTTTAAAAAAAACGTGTCTTACCCCGGTATCGGGAAAAGAGTCGGAAGCTCTAATAACTTTTGGAGCAAATGCAAGTGGGTTGCGGGACTCGATCTGTTTGCGAGTTGCAAGAACAGTTTCTTCGTGAATAGGCTTATTGAGGCAGTCTAGGCATGCGCACGGCTCGATGCAGTAGACACCAGCAGCAAAGCATTCACAGTAACTACAAGAACAGGAAATAAGATGACTTTCTATTTTACCCATTTGTTCAATCTATAAGACCATCTTCGCATTCTTTAGAAACAAAACTAGGAATCTGATTATTCTTTTCCTTAGTGTGAAAACCAAAAAATACTAAGTTTCACATGCTAATGGAAAGAGGCTAATGGAAATGAAATCAGCACCACGATGATCCAGACAATATAACAATTTGAAGCCCAAGAAACAGAAAGAGGAAAAGCAAACAATTTTCTGACACATTGATTGTTGCTCATCACACTTATCGACCATCCTGGCCAAAACACAACTAACCATCGCACATGTAAACCAGCATATAATGAAAGATGGAGACTACGAGTAGTTCATGGTTAACTAATACTCATATGAGAAGTTACTCTTGGTCAATCCAGATGTCAGTTACGTATAAACTAACTCTTTTGACATAGTTATCATGGCACTTTCACTTATTCATCAGTCTCACAAGAAAACATAACTTACAGCTTCAGACATTTTGATTTCTTGCAGTTGCAGCGTTTGCAGGCCCCATCTTCAGAATGTTCTGCTTTGCGCCTGCGAAGCAACAAGTAGTGTTCTTAACGTGAAGTAAATTCAACAATTGTATGCATCACAGTAGTTCTTTTTACACTGAGGTTTAATAGTCATGGACATGCCTCTTTTTCTGAGGACTGTTGTGGTCAAGATCTTCACCATCAGGATATGCACATGATTGCGAACCATCTTGTACAACTAGGACTCCATTATCGGTAGACCCTATGTCCTCAGAAGCGACTGAAGTCAAAGGTTCGTGAAGACATTGATGGGAATTGGGGAGATTCAAGGAGCTAGAAGAGATTTGCGTGTTCATCAACTGATTCTCACTCAACAAATTTCCGTGCTCTACACTTTGGTAGTCGTTTGAAGTGGTCGCCAGAGCATTTAGGTGCAGACCGATTCCAGGCAACGCGCACCTCAATGGATCACCTTCACTTTTAACAGGAAGCTGCCCTTCGTTCACAAGAGTGTTTTCATCATGTTGAGATGATGCCAGGTGACTATAATCTAAATCGTCACCAGAGAGCTTACGAAGTTCAGCAATCTCAAAGTCCAGACAACGCCTCCTCATGCCCCGATGAAAATTAGGGACAGGCTGCAAAACTTCAGTTCATAAGATTGTCGACTAAATGATGTTCAAGCAAAGACATATACTGGCATCGCTGTACCAGGGAGATACTACCAAAGTACATTATGAGTGTCACTTAATATAGTAGTGTGTGCATGTAATACAAACAGATTGAGTACGTAACAACTGGACAACTGTAGCAAAAAAAAGTTTTACTTTGTAATAACTGGACTTATGAAAATACCTTCCAAGCGATAACAAACGCTTGTGATGCAGTGAAAAAAGATAGATTCACTCTAAGCACCACATAACGTACACGCATAAAATTGAATTCAGCTAACCAGAAATGTGGCAACATTACCGCGTAATCAAATGACACGCGTGTTCCTGCATCATTGTGCAAATTCTTGTCCAGCTCGATTGACATATACTTATCCAAAAACTTATCCAGATTATGGACATCAATATTCTTCATCGCTTCCTTTTGCCCGTAGGCTTCTTCAGTCAGATATGGGGGTTCTTCTATTTGTTGTTGTTCCCTATGCTGTAAATCAAACTGTTGCTGTCTCTCAAAACCACTGACATCCTCCGGTGTGAACCTCGACATAAGAGAACTTAAACATACCGTTCCAAGATCAGGTGATCTCTGAACAAGCTCCCTAAAAGCCTCAGCATCATTAGGGGAGCTAAAAATGAACAAGTCACTAGGATCAATTGGCCATTCTTTGTTCTGTTCTTGACCTTCACCTCCAGGAAGTCGTTTCCCAGGAGATTTCACAACCACCGATATAATGGGGGTTGACATACCTGCAGTCTCTACTGCAGATTCTGCATCAGCAGTACAAGTTGTCATGTTACCTTCCGGATCATAGAAGCTATGCCTCGAGTTCTGAGGAAACTCGGTCGCAAATTCTGAATGTTCCTTGCATGGTTCAGCGCGAACTTCAACTGAAACCTTTTTGTCAGAGTTGTCTCTTCTTTGAGAAATGCCATTAGTAAAATCCCCATTTCGGCAGACTATGTTTCGGTTTCCAGAAGAATGATCAGGATTTGATGGATCTAAGCTTTGATGCCTGAAAAGAACAAGTCAAGGAACGAGAAGAATTGTGATTACTAGCGATGATACAATGCACGTGCTTTGCAAAGAAAATCTGCAATGCCATCAATTACCTCCGCAGCAAACTTGAGTCCTTGATAAAATTCGCATGAGGCGAAGTGAAAACTGAGGGAAGGGATGTGAAAGGAAGTGAGGTGAAAGTCTGAGCTATGTGTAGGGATCTCACTGGCTTGATAGGCGAGAGACTTCTGATGAAGTTGAAAACCGGGGAGTCCTGTCGATATAAGGCCAAAAACATCAGACCATATGAAGATTAAACGTCACTATTAACAGGGAAGAGCAACAATAACCGAAAAGAAAATACCTTAAATGACAAGACCAAACACTGAAGCGAAACAACGCTGCCCGAAAATTTGCACAGTGAAAACAAATGGATTTGGCCTACTAATTAAACTTCATTATAGCTTAGAACAGCAGAGTTCTGTAAGAAATCATACAAGCGCGAAAAAAAAATCCTTCTCTCAGCATGAATTATTGGTAGAACGCACTTGGCAAAATCACCCATTTTCCCCCTGAAATAATCAGAGAAGAGAACTGACGAAAAAGAACCCTTATTTCTAGACATTAAGTTCCATCGGCCGGACGAAAAAACCAATTCGCTCCCCCCGAAATCATCTCAACGATTTCCACCACCAAAACTATCGCAACGAACTGCTCGCAGAGTGAACACGGTAATCTTCGAATGCACATAGCAGATCAAGAACCAAAATTATCCCTTAATCAACTCGAAAACGCCACGGACAGAACACACGAAACTTCAGAAGACCGAACCATTCCTGCTTCAAAAGGGCAAACCTCTCCCCGCGAAAACACCCCAAAACAGGAAAAACCCATCAAAAAGAAAAGACACCCGAGCGCCGCGGCATCGCCACACAAACGAAGGAAGCAAAAGAAACCCGGAAAAGCGAAAGAAAAAAAAAGAGAACCAATTCGCAAGAACAACCGCGCAATTGGGTCGGCGAGGAACCACCCCCCACAAAAGACTAAGAAACCCGAAAGGAGACGGGGAATTCTACCTCGTGGGCGGATGCGGGAGGAGGGCCGATCTGGGTCTTCTCAGGCGTGTCCATCTCCGGAGGACCAACTGCTGCGCATCCCACTCTCTCTCTCTCTCTCTCTCTCTCGCTCTCTCTCTCTCTGTGAAGTTAGTGTGTGTGAGAGTGTGTGTGGGGCGAAGTGAGAAAGGAGGGCGGGGGAGGAGGAGAGAGAGATTCAAGACGAAGCGGGAAGGCGGGAGAGAAAAGATGTTTTTGTCGCGGTCCTTGGACGATGACTTCTTGCGACGGAAACCAGAAGCATGTCCCCACCCCCACCAGCGCCACAACCCTGTCCTTTCGAGCCACCTGTCTCTCTCCCCCTCCCTCTCTCTCATACATGGGCCAGGCGATCTGTCCTCATTTGGCCTGTGAAAACCGGCTTGAATTACACTCAACCCTTGGCACTTACATAATCATAAAATAAGACCTTAATTTCTAGAGTTAATGTTACGAAAAACTTCAAATACAACTAGAAACTCTCAAACTGGTATATCTGTAATAAATTTATCATCGATTAGTTTCTGTTATATTTTACGGTCAAATTGCTGAGTTGAATGACGAGTGGCAACTGACGGGTGGCAACTGACGGGTGTACCGGTCTAGGGTTTTACCTTCCGTTTGTCATGGGTGTACCGGTTTGCGGGCATTAATCCAATTTAATGGAAACTAAAAAAAGGTAAATTTATTACAAATGTATCGATTTGGGATTTTTTGTGGTCAAAAAATTAGTTTGCGGTAAATTTATCACATATGTACCGATTTGAGATTTTTCGCGGTATTAACCTAAATATCTAATCGTTTAGACCATATCGTGATGCCTCATTTTTGAGAAAAATCCATATTAAATCATTTTACCTCGTTAATTTTCCCGGTTAGTTGATACGAAGAGATTGTTTAAACGGGTTGTGTTGTTGTTAAAATGAAAATTGAGTTTAGTGAGTATATTCGGGATATTTTCTCATGAGTTGGTACAAAGAGATTGTTTAAAAGGGTTGTGTTATTAATAGAATGAAAATCGAGTCATGTGAATGTCGCTAAAAGTAATCCCTCAATAAATTCCTTAATGAAAACGGCAAAGAATATTTCCTGTTCATATGGTCCGACCGGATTCTAATTCGACCATCGATACAATTTTCTTTGCCGATTTAGATCAGCTTAACTTGTTTGTTAAAGAGTTTACTTATCGCGAAGATCCAACGCTTTTGATAACGTCTAGGTGGGAAAGCCTGGAATTAATCATTCAAACTATGAACCACTCAATTACTTCGGATCAATTTGAATGATTCGAACCGTAAATAATAAGATGAAATGAGATCGCTAATAATTCGATCGAATCTAATGAATTCTAACCGTAACAAACGGGTTTTAGCTTAGATTTTAATCGATTATTAGTCCTCAGTAAAGAAATTCAACCCTCAAATTTTCGGAGGTGGATTTTGAATTATCATCTTCATCATCAAACAAGCTAATTGACATCACGTTCTAATTTTTCCATCACTATTGCCAATCATCAGGTATATTCCACAAAGCAACAAAATGCTACGGTTAGATTCCTCATGTGGGCGGCATTTGGCGACCAATTTTGGCGCCCAAAATAATTTTTTGGAGGCTAGGCTATGGCTAATGTACGTTCATTCAATTCGGGCTTCCTAGGTCATGTGACTGTGGCCTACATCACACATTAATTAATGTCATAAAAGTGTCGACATCATGGGCGTATTGAAATGGAAAATTTGGAGAGTTTATGATTGACCGGGGAAGGATGGGGGTTTTAGCATAAGCTTGAAAGATAAATAAAAATTATTTTATATAAATAAATACCCGGTGCTTCTAATCACCAAAATAATAATAATAATAATAATAATAATAATAATAATAATAATAAAAGTACCTAGAGCTTCATTATGAGTACAAGAGTGGTCCATATTTCCATACATTCGCTCAGCCCAGTACCTACTCCATGGTCCCATGGATTTTGGTGGCATATTCTATAATTCCTTCTTCCTTTTTTTTATTTTTTATTTTATTTTGTGGGGGGGGTTGTCGTAGGCATTTTTCCACAAAGAGGGAAAATAATTTTTAGTACATGAAAAAACCAAGTCAAGAAATTGATATGATAAGTGATATAATAAATTATAAGTGGGAATTTGAATAAGCTAGTCATGTTCAATGCACAATAAGGTTTGCCTCGTATTTCGAAAACCAATTTTGTTAAACAACTTTAAGTATATTTGACAATATAGAAAAACTCGTTGTAGGAAACCGTTCAAGCATCATTAGCTAAGAATATATTGGCTAATCATTTTCCAAGAAGCAGGTTGAATGAACCATAAAGCCGAAGAATGAAGGGCGTAAATCTTAGCAAGTTTTTTTTATATTAAAATCATATCACATTTGTAATGAGGCCGTCCAAAATGCTACTCTCATATACTACGGTGTGAAGAGCGATAGGGCCAAATATGCAATCAAGAGAGGAGATCAATTGGTTTTTCAAATATGTAAAAACTAATTTTTGCATAACCAACCCCTTTAAAAAAATCTGCTTCTACACATGAGTGAACTAGCAATTAATGATGCGAAATTAAAGACCTTTAGGGAAAGAAATTGCACAAAAAGAATTTACAGTGGTTCAATTTGAGTGTGTCTACTCCTCTCTTCCAGCTTTAATAGTTTAATTAGACTAAAATACATTAATTGAGCCAAGTGTGCAAATACCGCCTCGTTACAAAAGTGGAACATTTCACTGCGCAAACTCAAAACCTTGAACAGCTATCCCACTATAATAAAGTAACTATGGCACTCTTCAATAATTGTTCTCACATCATGTACACACAACGCAGCAGCTGACTCAATATACGTGGATTGAGTCAATTATACTATACGTTTGACAAAAGTAGAACAATAAAAATTGACCATGCACTTTTTTGAGTTCAAAAAAATTGAATGTAATAGCCCGACAACAAGATGGTAAAGTGGTAACCAGTCTAGGACAATAATCAAGCTCTCTCTCTCTCCCTCTCTGTGAGAGGAAGCAAAGGTCAGCTCTCTCTGACACAGTTGACATTACAAAGGATCGACCGAAACATGCGGGGGGGTCCTAGGTAATCCCACCCTGTCCAAAAGCATGAGTTCAGAGAACTCCCAGAGAACCATGGTACTTTAAATTAATCAATTTTCCTGGCACAAAACCACAACCGCAAAGCATACAAACTCTCCAGCAACTGTAGCGCCTGTCAGATACCACCGGCAGATTCACCATCGCCTTATTTAATTTGCCTTTCAAAATCCTGATGAGCGATGATGCCCCTCTAAGTGCAAGCCTCCAGTCGAAAACGACAGGACAGGCTACAAAAGAGTAAGTAATGATTGGGAAGAGCATCTTCAATGCTACAGATGAGGTATGGCCAGCCCTGCAGCTCATACGTATGGGAGTCAAATATTTTCTTGATTCTTTATTCGCTAGGGTTTTTGGTTTCTTCTCCTTTCTTGTCTTGATTGCTGTCATGTTTTTGCTGGGGTCTTTTCTTCTCTGGTGGTCATTGACAACCACACGAGGACACACAGGTCTTCATTATTATAAATTTATGGGAAAATTTGAGATCTCCTAGAAACAAATTATGGGGCTTCTAACTTTCTTGTCTAGGGCACTAAACGCCCAACTCATTAGGTACAATTTGAATTTGTAGCATCCGTGGCCATTTGAGCCTGCAAGTTTTTTCTTTTCCTTCAGTTGCCCCAAGTCCCAATGAGTCGGTAGGTTTATCAGGAGACTTGGAGATGCTTTTTTATTGATTTGATGCAACTAGTTTTGACCTAGGGTTGGGTGTTAACCATTTTTTTGCATGGATTTTGTGAGTTTTGGAGTGAGGGTTGCTGCATTATCGAGTTGTTAGTTGCTCCCGATGAACTCCTTCTCGTTTGTCTATTTATGTTCTCTATATGTGCGCCTCACGGGTAACAAAAATCTTTTCTTGTGGGTGTTATCTATGTACGAAAGTCAAGTTGATACGAGTGAAAGTAATGGGGGATTAGGAGTGACGAGTAATTAGACGATTGTTTTTCGCATATCATGAAATAATCTGACAACAAAGAACTGTGATTGTTGTCGTTCTTAACGAAGGGTTAAATTTTCCGTTATCCCCGATTGAAAGAGACTTTTTTTTCAATCACGCTTATGGTTGGTGGGTAACATACCATGTACAATACCGACATGCAAATTTGATTAAATAGAATTGTGGGTGACATCGTATTTGCGACCCATCAATCAATAAAGTGATTAGAAAACCATAACGGCAATGAAATTATGAGATTGTAAATATGACAATTAAGGAATGTGGTTTAAACGCAAGACCCAAAATTCAATTCCTTCGATTTGTTCAACCCCACTGCCCAAGCATCATTAATTAGATGGGGTCTAATTATTCTCGAAAGACTTTAGGGGAGATTTATATTGGTCTCGGCACTTCTTGTAGGGAAGAATGTACTCTAAGCTTACTTTGACTTTGGAGTGGTTGGATGGACGCGTGAAATTATGTGAAACTAGGAGTTGGTGCATGATACATAGTCTACTCCGAAGTTCTAGCATTCATATTTTCTTTAGCATTTTTCCCGATGTGCATAGATAAGGATTAGTTTTACTTTCCTGCTCAGCCACTCTAACTGGGGGTAGATCATGATGGAAAGTTATAAGCACCATTTTTGTTATAAGCACCTATTTTAGGTTTTTTTTTTTTTGATAATCGAGGTGTCCGCGTGGCCGGCGAGAAGTGATGCCCGACTAGTCTTCGAGGAGGTCTAGCGCAGCATCCCACCGCCACGACCCCCCACTTAAATTACCGATAGGCGAGTTTGAACCCAGGACCTCTCGTGAAAGAAACTGAGCGCAAACCAACGCGGCCAACGATGGGTGGGTACCTATTTTAGGTTTTTGTATATGAAATACTTCACTTAATTACTTTCACAGTATTAGGGTTTGGCAGTATTTCTCATGCACTTCTGTTGAGTCCATCGAGAAATTTTCACTAAGGCTTTATTTATTTCGTAGAAAATGAATAACTTGCAAAATATTTTCTTAAAAATG